CCAATACTATCGGTGAACTCCAGGCCGAGTTACTGGGACTAATGATCCCCCGTTTCAACATGTCGTCCAACATCTCTGAGATCACCTTCTTCTCGGTGTCCGATGTTCGGTACGGCTGCTGTATTACCGGTTTTGCGTCCCCGACGTCAATTCGGTACTCTAATGTTGTCAAACGGCCTAATTCATCGGATCCAGTGGCGAACCTGTCTCTATAGGTGCACAATAGATCCTCTAACACTGACCTTTGTTTATCTGTTAACTGTTCCCCGATGTCGAAGCTTTTCACGAACTCAACTCTTTCCTCATCTGTCATAGACTGATGTACTCGAGTTGTTGTCTTCCTTTCCCGACTGGCTTTGAGGTTAGGCGTCCACTTAATAATCTGGGAATCTTGGTTTACCGGTTTGATTACGGCCACTGGTGTGTTGGCCACTAACTTCACCCGGTCTTCCGTAGCATTAATAACAATTAGTCGACACTTTGCCGACTTTGGTTTCAGTATTCCCAGTCCAACATCCAGTCCTTGTTTACTGACTTTACTGTTGGTTTCTACCAAACAGTAGTCCTTTTCAAGGGATACTATTTTACACTGGACTGTTGTTTCCGATCTCGCCTCTAACCATTGCGTTCGGGTTGTATATGCGTGTCCCGACACGTTCGGTACTGTTAGTTTGGCAACTCTATGGCCAGACTTTCCAATTGTCATCATTTTCCCGGATTTGACTTTTCGTTCGGCGAATAATAATGACTCATAATATGGACCTAATGGATCTCTATTGAGTTGACCATCAACTGGAGTCCATGACTTCGCAGACTTATAGAATGGCCAACACTTGACTTCATTAGACCTGACTTTCGCTAACATTCGTACCTCTTCTTTGTTTGCTTTTACGTATTGGTACGGATTGTTAATATTTCCCGAGTTTTCACGAATGTATTGTTCCGAACAAACATTCTCCTGGAAATCAATTATCCTTAAGCCGGCAATTATCGCGATCCCCATCGATTTGATGAAGTCGTCTCCCAATATGATCGGTGGATATCCATTTTCGGCCACCGCGACAACCATTTCTAGCGATCGACCTGAAAAGGCGATCCGTACTTTGGCTACTCCGTCGGGTGTGATGGGTTGTCCATCTGCGCCTTCTAACGGTTTACGCTTCCACTCATATAACTCTAATCCCAAATAACCGGCAAAATCCGAGTGAACTGTAGTGATACACCCGCCTGTGTCCAGCAATGCTTTCGAGGGCACACCGTTGATCACTACCGTAACAATCGGTACATCAGATAAGTCGAGTCCTTTCAATAGATCCACATTTTTCTTAGATGGAAACATTATCCTTTTTGATAAATCCGCTCTATTTTCCCAATTGACATCAATTAGCTTTGGTTTCATATTTCTATTGTGACGGCTAGTCTTTTCCTCGACTTCATCGTCACTCTCCTCAACATCAGATTTATCTCGCAGATGCTGTGGTTGTTTACGATCTCTAGTATTCTTTGGTTTCTTCGGGCTCTCCTTCTTAGGATATCTTTTGTCGAACTTCTTCGGTCCGCTGTCTCTCCCAACTCGTTTGGGTAGACGACAATCCCGTGAGAAGTGACCCGGTTTACCACAATTGAAGCACTTGTAGTCTTTCCGTTCTGTTGTAGACTTAATAGTCTTCGCGTCCTTGATTTCTGGCTTTCTAGCGGCTGTGGCGGCGGTTCGTCTTTCGGCTGATTGATATAAATCCGCCGTTTCCTCTCTTGCCATGAGTTTATGCTTCACTTGATCCATGGTTGTGAATCCATCCAATTGAGTGGCGATCTGTGCACTTTTCAAACCTTTTTTAATGGTTTTAATCAGTGCCTCGTCCGGTAGATTCAGACCTGTGGCTAATCTTTGGACTCTTACGGCGAACGCTATCGGCGTTTCACCGTTCTTCCGCTCGGCTCCCATGAGTCGAGTGAAGTCGCCAACTCCTCCCGGTCCCAACATATAATGTTTCCGGAAATTATATTCAAACAACTCCCATGTTTTAAGCAATGGATCCGCCAATACGACTGTGCGATAAAAATCCATTCCCGAGTCTTTCATACAATTCGGTAGGTATTTAAACTTATCCACTTTAGTCCATCCACGACCTTCCGCTAACAACTCATAGTTGTCCAGCCAATCATGTGCTGACGCATACTCTCCATCGAAGACTGGCATTTCCGGATACTTCGGCGCTTTTGTCTTCGGATCGGATCTCGCCTTTAATTCCTTTAATATCTCAATCAGAGCTGGATCTGCTCCTTGTGAGCTGACATGGGATAGGGTATCGTCATCATCCTTCTCCTTGTCTTTCTTCATTTGATCCAACTCGTCCAATGCGAGCCGATATTTGTCCTCCATTTCGGACAACCTTTTAGTTAGATCTTCGATTAGATCATTAAGACGGCCTATTTCTTGTGCCATTTCCGATGAGTTGTCGTTATCCTCGAGACTTGATTCAAAAGCCTCGTCTACTAATCCTCTATGTTGTGCTATCAATTGTGCTCTCGTCCTAACCATCCGGTGCTATATATTCAGATTGTTACCCCGCACCTCCACCAAAGATGTAAGACGAGATTCGGGTCGCTGCGGAACTTCGGCCTTACGCGGAGCCTCTATCCACACTGACTGCCGGTTGGTGGAGTTGAACCGCAATCAGGTCTTACAATGGGTATAACCTGATGTGGACAGTCGCGAGCTATGCGAGTCCTACGATTGCACACACCTATCTTTGTAGGTGATGTCCCGGACAACAGATAGTTAGACTCAACCAATTGCCCAGCAATTGGTGGCCACTTATGATACACACGAACAATAGGTTTTAATGTGTTTTATTAACTTAAACTATTTATATATACATTAAAATTAATAGTAGATATTATACGGTATTAATTATATTAATAATTAGGCCAACAGGCCATTATAGCCAACACGTGTAAAACACGGCTTATATTTACGGCTAACCAACCATATAACTATGCGACTGTTTTAGTCGGCTTACAAAACGACACTACTGTTCAAAACAGAGACCCGGATACTAATACATGTATCTATACTCAGGTTTTGAACCTAAATCTAATATAAATATAATTAATAGTTGAGAAACAACTATAATACAAATATTATACTGATAATACTAAATATCAATATTACAAATTGAATAATTAATTATATGACTATATGGAGAAAACATAAACTTATATTATAACCATAATTCCGCAAAACCAGCGGTTTGTCTTTCAATATATTGAATCAAAAAATTTTTGCAATATTTCCAATCAATAATACAAGTAAATGATTTAAGACAACAACAAAAAAAGATTAATATTATGTGAGCGGCGGAGATATATACTATATATATATATATATAAACTTATATAACAATATTAATTGTGATAATACCTGAGCCGACTATTGAGCTCATGTTATTGAGTATCGGTTTTCTCTCTATGTCTAGAAATTGAGGTCAGAAAATAGTTTGGTTAATATAATAAATTCAAAACCAAAAATACAGTTAAGTATTGTATTGTATATACTATTAGAGCTCACGTTTAATGACATTAATGAATATCTTAAGTTATTTTATATATTAAGACTTTAGTTTCCACTCATTCATTATTATTGATTAACATACAGTAAAAAAAACTATTTGATACCCGAAATCACTACAAATATAATGAGAGAAAAGTGTTATGTATTTTCAAGTGAAATGTTTTTTTCTAGAGAAATGAGTCGACACACAAAAATAAAACACAGTAAATGCATTACAATTGAGACTGTCTTAGGAATTGAAAACGATTTTTTTGGGCTTAAAATTAAATACATGTCTTAAATAAGAGAGAGAGAGAGAGAGAGAGAGAGAGAGAGTCGGGAGAAAAATTAGGGTTTATTTCTCAAATGGAGTGTCGCTCTTGAGTTTGGATATCACATCTCTCTCTCTCTCTCTCTCTCTCTCTCTCTCTCTCTCTCTCTCTCTCTCTCTCTCTCTTAACCAAACACTAACCTTATAGTTGTCAATCTCGTTAAATGCCTGATTGAGTTTATGTTTTGTTTGTAATTAAAGAGAGGATCAACCGTTTGGAAAACAAAACTTAATTTCCATTAGATTTTTCTACAAAAACTATTGATCGAAACAGATAAAGAAAAACCGAAAGTGTTATATATATATTCAATATATATATAATATGAGGGGATCATAAATTGGTGGGGGTCAGCACAACCACCACCACTAACAAAAGTGTTGCCTATAATTTGACTCAAACTAAATACATAGTCATTAATTAAAATGGATTCAATCATTAATGAAGTGAATCTGTTTTATAACTTTTTGTTTTAACCCGAAAAATCCTATTTCTATATATATATATAGTATATACAGTATATATATATACAATATAATTTATATAACAACATTTAAGTTTCCAATTTAATATAAAATCTAATTTTAGGTTATATTTTATCTGATAGAAAACTAATACAAGTGATGCTTTTTGAAAATAATAAATAAATTACTAATTTAGTTCATGTATTCAACATTTTATCTCCAATTTCATCATCTAATTGACTCATTTTTTCTCTATCTATCTCTTAGCCACACATAAACCATAAATCGATTGCATGCATGCGTGGCATTCAATTAATAATAGAGAATTAAAATTAATTAAAGTATAATACCATATAAAATGAGATTTTAATTGTGATATCTCTCTCTCTCTCTCTCTCTCTCTCTCTCTCTCTCTCACACACACACACACACACACATACATACAAAGTTGATTGCAATCCCATTAAGTAATTATTTATATATTTTCTCTCTTATATTTTCCTCCATTCACATCGATGGACAAAACATTTATATAAAAACGGGGCGACAAATACACATTGATGATGGCATTGATAAATATCATTGACATACCAATATGATATTACCAACTGTGCAAAATATATACACACACGGCTGATCTCTTGGTCACTATAGTTACCGGCCAGTGGTGCATCACTGAACCCGGCGCGCACATTGGGACCGGCATTTGTCATGAATCGATGGAAAAATCATTGGGTAAGTCAAAACAACAACAAAAAAATGCAATCAAATCATATTTGAAACCATTATTATTATTATTATTGACCATTCAATAAGTACTGTAAGTACTGTACTGTTAGTACTATGAAGTGGTGACCGACAAAAAATATATTATATACGGTATATGAAAGTGAGATATGAAATAAATAAACTCTTAAAGCAAAGTAATAGTTCATAACCTATCATAAGTAGTTGTGTTCAATATATCAGTTATTTCTTTCACTTTCGACGACGTCTAGTGTGATAAGTGTCTCAATAGCTCTCTCTCTCTCTCTCTCTCTCTCTCTCTCTCTCTCTCTCTCTCTCTCTCTCTCTCTTACTTTTTTTTCTCTCACTCACTCACTCTCTTTCCCTCATCTTTTTTCTTTCCATTATTCCTCTCAAACTTTGACTTATATTATAGTTTCTTATATTAGCCAAAGTCTGGGGGTTAGCCGACTGTCAGTCATATAGACATTATCGGAGTAGTTAGTGGAGTAGTAGTAGTAGTAGTAGTAGTAGTGGAGGTTTAACTTAAAAAATGGTTATATTATTTGTAACGCAATAATGATTTCTTTAGGGAAATATTTGGACAGTTGTCTGCTAGAGAGTCTCCTAAAGTTTAGTCTCTCCTCTATTTATTTATGTGTCAAACAAACAACAAGAGAAAGAGAGAGAAATGAAAAGACATGAATTAAAAACAATTAATAGAAATGTTGGGTTTGTTTTTATTTTTAGTACAATTTCATGTAATTTAAGGTAACAGAGACCTTAAGGGGAGGTTTGTGTGTATGTTATAGCAAACATACAGTTGAACTTTGCTTTCCAAATGTAAGCCCTGAGCGATATGTCTTCAATATGTTTATTTCACTATTGATATCGACATTGTAAGCAAAAAATAGGAAAAGTTGTCATCCGTTTTTTAGGTCTCTCTATCTCTCTCTTAATATATGTTTATAATATTTTTCACATATTTATGGATATGGTTTGCGATGTTAATCATCGATCCAATACTATAAGGAGTCGTTATATATATAAAATATATTTAAAGATTGAAAGAGAGAGAGAGAGAGAGAGAGAGAGAGAGAGAGAGAGAGAGAGAGAAAGAGAGAAGTGGCAAAACTCGACAAAAATTCATATAACACTTCCTTATAATACCGAAAAAACGCATATATTATGTGACACATCTATATAAAAGTTATAAATTTTATGCATATACTGTATATTTATATATATAATAATATATTAAATTTATAAGATCTACAAAATTGTATAATACTGTATTGCAAGAAGTAATGCATAACATGTTAGGACATAACATAAAACATCATATTTTTATGATATGATATGATATTATTATTATATATGGTATTGTTTGCCATAAAACTTCAGTTCACTTCAATTATCAAAACATAACCGATTTGTGTCAAAAAATGCTTGTTATTTATAGTTATAAAAAAATTGTGTATAAAATTAATTGCTTCTGCAATCATGAGATAAGCACCCAAACACTGCTGCGGTAAATAAGCTACTAATCTGACTCTTAATTTTAATATAGGATCAAATACTACTACACATACCATATCTAATAATAATAATAACAATTATATTATATTATTGTTGTTGTTATTGTTATTATTAATATAACAAGAATAATATTTTTATTTCTAAATATAATAATAATAATAATAATTGTGAAATTATTCTCGAAGATTTATCATCATATTTTCTCTAAGATATATACAGTATATATATATATATATATATATATATTAAACACTGTATAACAGTGCCATTATTGATGATAGATATTACATACAAAAATTTATTATATAGCTATTATTCGTGTTATCACATTTGTGTGTATGTATGAGTGGGTGAGTGAGTGAGTGAAAGTGAGTGAAAGAGGAGAGAGAGAGAGAGAGATGTAATACCTATTTTGATATTTATAAATAATGTTTATTACGGTTTGATTTCCCGTATGACTTTCCCGAGTAGTATATACTGTATATAAAGTTAGTACTATTCATAGTATCGGTGGTAATGACTTTAAGCGAAACAAACAAACAAAAAATATAAGCCAAAAGACAAACTTTGTGTTATACAGTATTATATTATATAATAGGAAACTCAGGTAAAGATATTTTTTGTTTGAAAGTAAATTCATTGTTTACACACACTATTGTTAAGACAGTGTGTGTGTGTGTGTGTGTGTAGTGCTTTCATCCGCAAAAATAAAATATAAGTATATAATAATAATAATAATAAGAGTTATATTAATAATAGTAATAACAAATTCTTGTGCGGACAGCAAATCGTTATAGTTTTAGTAGTAATTGAAGTGATGTATGGTATGGCTGGTAGTGTATGCAGACAGTGATGGCGCAAACAATAGATATATACATATATACAGTATATATATATATATATATAACAATTGGGTAGTGAATGGATTGTTTGGTGTGTGTGTTGTCTATGTTTTGAGGCTAAGTATCGTTTGCCTAATCTATCGATTTTCTGCATTCGTGGCACACATTTTCGGCGCTCAATTGCAACTCAATTCAAGTGTGTTTTTTAGTGCTATATATTTATATGATATAAGAGGAGACAATCAACACACACACACACACACACACACATACCACTCATAGTACTGAAAACAGCTAAAAATTGTTTTATCAAACCTTTAAAAAACAAGAATATATTTTAAAGAGAGAGAGAGAGAGAGAGAGAGAGAGAGAGAGAGAGAGATGCAATGTTCATATTATTTTATGTATGACTAGACAGAAACGACAGTTCACTATAAAATATATGTGACTATATTGCATAAATACATTGTATGTATAGATAGATACTGTGTCTATATTGTATAATATACGATATACTGTATGTATTTATATATTGTATATACAATATATATTATATATAAAAAAGTGTATTTTAAAGGCTTAGCTTTTGCTTTGCATTTATTATATATTTTCTTTAACAACAACCAACAAAAAAACTTATATTATTTTGATATTGAAATCCAATACTCGAAGCTTAGTTAAGGCGACAAAAATAAAATATATATAAAAATATTTAACAATTCTGAGCGCTTCTCCTATTATTCTGTCTATTCTTTTGTTCTTTTAGTTGATCTGCTTTTGTATACAATTTTTATTATTATATTTATATATACTGTCTATAGTTTTTATTATATAAACTGAATCCCCAATAGTTTCTAATTTTTGTTTTTCCTATTGTTAGGTATTTTTCTCTATCTTTATAACAGTATAAATATATTTATTCTCCAATGAGTTTCTTATCCATAGGCTATCTATCCTTTTAGAGTAAATGGTGAACACAGCTATGGTTTTGAAATTAGGACCCAAAATGCTTTTGAGTATCGGTTCAGAGCCTCAAACAGTATTGACGAAAAGTATTGGTTCATAAAAGTTATATATTTTTGAAGAAATCAATCTCATGAGAGACAAACTTTTCCATAGCTTTCCATAGATCTCTCTCTCTCTCTCTCTCTCTCTCTCTCTCTACACTAAATAAAGCCATTGTATTGTATGGCGAAAGTAGTAGACGTGAGTTGAGAGTGAAGAGCACATACATTGAGAATGAGTTTGAAAAGACTTTTATACAATACATGACTCCAGTGTTGAGTACATCTCATTGAATAATAGCTTTAACAAACACATTGACTCAAATTGAGATGTTATATATATATATATAGTATATACAATATATATATATATATATCTTGTTGGTATGTATGTGTCGGTGCGCTAAATGGGATGACAATATCACACTCACTCACTCACTCATTCACTCACATATATATAGGATGACGACCTGAAAGTGATTGTTGTGAGTTTGAAAAGCCGTTATCACACACACAGACAAAAAACTATAGAAAACTGTGTTTTAAAAAATATCGCTTCAATTAACTTTACAATCATTTTTCAAAATTAACTCTTATTTAATGGAGTATATATTATAGACTATAAAACAGTATAAACAGTATTAATATAAAGTTAACAATAACTGACATATCAAACTGCTCTGAAAATGACAATTAATTTATTAATTACTAACTATATTACTATTTTACAGGTCTATTGGTTGGGCCCTATATTGGGTGGAGTAGTGGCCGGATTGATATATGAGTTTATATTTGATACCAAAAAATCTGGTCAATTGATACGCGAGGCCTTTGATGAAGTGGAAAGAGGTTTGTTGTTGTGTTTTATATTTGTTTGTCTGTCAATTGAAAATCTTTTAAAAGTCAATTGATTTCCAATATATAAAGTTTATACATCAAGTGATAGGGAGAGAGAGAGAGAGAGAGAGAGAGAGAGAGAGAGAGAGAGAGAGAGAGAGAGATCGGATATAAAACATTGAATTTGAAAATAACATTACAAAGCATTACAAAACAACTGTAACAAACAAATAGGTATCAAATCAGATAAAGATAAAACCTAGAGAATCATGAAAATCAAGTGCATTGAAAATAAGATTTATTTATTTCTTTGTTGGTATAGTACAAGTGTATTACTGTATATTAGAGATCTTACCAAAAAAATGTTAGGTCTCAACAAATAGTTAGAAGAAAACACCAACTAATAAGATTTGTTACATCCCTTTCCCAGTCATATATAGTATAAACCAAAAGTGATATTACCCCCACCCCACCAAAAATAGCGTAGGATATTAGGATATTTTTTTGTTAATTTTATGCCAATCATATCATATATGAAAATGACTTTTTTGTGGCTTACGTTATATTATATTTTTTATAGATATATATTCTTGCAATCGATTGTCAAAAGCATAGCCCGAAAAAAAAGTATTGCATAAAAAATATTTATCCAATTTATTGAATTGTTAGGTCTTTTTTCAAAGCTTTTTATTTGTTGGTCCCTATAAACTCATTATGTATTCCTCATCTGAACTGTAAATCTCAGTGACTTTTATCTGAATTGATGATTTTTGCTACATTATATTACAGTAGTATAGTTGTATATATATATATATATACAATATATTCCAGAATATTCCATACAATTCATATATACAAAGTTTAGTACAGAATATTCTTTGCGATTCAGATTCAGATTTTGTTTTTTCTTATGTATTTTTTGTACTTTTTTTAAGACATTTTATATCATAATAAATACAGAATATTCTGTTCATTTCTATTCATTTATATATACAATACATTTATAGTTTTTTTTTTGGTTATCTATTGGCCCCAAAATAGTTATTCAATACAAACTCATGTTTTGCTTCAAAAAATATATATAAGATATATAATACTAATAATAATAATAGGTTTAATGGTATAGATTTCTGATGCCTTATCACAGGAAATATACTTATTTTTCTGTGTTTTTCTGATCGCATATATATATATATATTTATTGAGAGAAACCGAAAAATAAGGCAATCGATGCACAATTTTATATGTTATTTGATTTCCTTATGTATACCAATCTATAGTATTTAATATATATTTATATATTGTATATGTCGGCCAAACAAACAAAGTGTAGACCAAACTATTGATTTGTTCCGTAAGATCACCATATGGTGCAACACAGGTCTTATAGCCAGAGGAAGGCGCGCTCTTAAACCAATTTTTTGCTAAAATTATTACTTTAATTTCAACGCACATGTGTTTAGTTATAGAAAAAGAGAAACAGTCAGTCAGTACTAACAATATATATATATTCAGTGCTATATATATATATTTCTATGGTTTTTTCATTGCCTAATATACAATATATTGTATATATATATGTATTGTGAAGTTTATGCCAAACAAACAGAAAAAATAATACATTTTTGAATCACAAAATCAGAAGTCGCAAAAAAACTTCAAACGTCTCTCTCTCTCTCTCTCTTTCTCTAAAAAAATCTAACCCTTAAAGTGAGTGCTTTTCCCATGAGTTTTGTTTGCCAGTAGTGATGGCTTGTGTTGTATAATATGTATGCCATAGCAGTTGTTATATGTACTGTATGTATGTATGTATGTCTTATGAGAAACATTAGCACAATCGATGGGCAAATGCCTTATACAGTATATATAGTATATATTAGTCTTCAATCGCTTTGATTTATGTCTTTTGACTGTATTTTTTTGTTTAGTTTTTCTATGATTTTTATGAATTCTCACTTTTTTAAAAAATCACAATTTTATTTTTTGTTTCTTTTTTTGTATGTCTGTATCAATCAATACTTACTGTTAGATTCAAATATTGACGACGATTACGAAGATCCGGACATCAAGATTAACAATAAGCCGGTGGTTGCCTACAGTACCACATCGGCCACGTCGTCGGGCAGCAGTAGTGGTCACCGTAGTAATCATACACAACAGAGTACTGTACCCAATGGTGGTCCCGGTGTTCATTACGAAACGTTCAGGACTCTGGCCCAAATTAATACATACACACCGACACCGGCAGCCATGGACGGCGTGTACGGCACTAGTAGTGGCGGAACACCGCATCACGTTAAGCTGCCGTCCAATAACTATCATCTGAATAACTCAAACTATGCCGGCGTTTACGGTACACAACGCTACGGACACAACACCTTAAGACAACTTCCCTCTCGTATGGATTACGGCGCTTCCATACCAGTATCTACCGGTCCCGGCAATACCAAGTTTTAATTTATTAAACCAAAATATATATTATAATTTTGTTTATATATATATAAAATATTAGCATTAATTTAATTCTTCATATGTAAATATATTGTCATTTTTACAGATGTTATGATAAAAATTTTATTATATTTAAATATTATAGATATATAGATATCTTTCATGATTTTTGTTGTTGTTTTTAGTTAAATACGATACGTATTATATATCCCACTAAAAAACATACATATAAATGGGTCTCTTAAGGGAAGGGAAGGGAAAGGCGTTTATAAAATGCTTGGCTTTTAAAAGATATAATTTATATGTTTTGTCAGATATTTCTTGCGAGGAAAAAACAGAGCCACAGAAATAAAAATTAATTTAATTACGAAACAAACAAACAATAATAATAATAATTAAATGTCACAATTTATTGTATTGAAAAGAAAAAATAATTTTTTTTCAAACAAAAGGATAAAAAATAAAGCAAATCATAAAAATATTTTCAGAGAAAGAGAGAGATAACAGCAAATTATTGGACATTTTTATTAGTTATATAATAAATAATATTATATTATTATAAATATATCTGTGAATTACATTTCTATATAATAGTATATATATATATTAATATATAGTATTTTTGTGTCTAATGTTTTCTTATGTTTTTTATGAAATAATGTTTTTCAGTATAAAAAAGGCAATGAAAATAATGTGTATTCGCTTTCGGCAATACTGTACTGATTAGCCGTATATTATTATTATGTATTGCTGTATTATTATTATTATTATTATTATCATATTGTACTGTAGTTATTATTATTTTATATATATATATATATTATAAATTATCAGTGAGTTTTATGTATTGTAAATAATTAATTAAAAACTACTGCTATTACTAATAATATATATATATAAAAATATATACATAAAAATTTTCAACACACATATAAGGCAACACAAAAACTCCCAGTTTTTTACTATGTATTATATATTATTATACTATACTTTCATTAAAATTAATGAATTCCTGTATAAATATGTTTCGTATAAAATATAAAAGTTTTTATTTTATTTTATTATTAGTTTGCTGTTGAAGTAAATAATAAGTTTTTTTTAAAAAAAAAATTCAGAGTAAGTCAAAAAAGTAAGTAAAAATCGATTTTGTTATATATATATATATATATATATATATAATTTATATATAAAATATACACTCATTTATGGCTTTAACAACACAAGTGAGCGAAAGGGGAGCAAAAAAATTTCTTTTGAGGTGACTATCCATAAGTCGCTCATATAGTTTAGTAGTAGTTTAATAAATACCGTATATTTGTCTGAATTTTCAATCGACTCTACAAAACAAACTCATTGAACAACAAAGAAGTTGAAGAGGAAAAAGAAGTATATTATATACAAAAACTACAACAACAACAATAATAATAATAATAATAATACCATCAATGAGTGTGTATTTATTGTATAATAGAGAGTGAAAACTCTAATGTATGTCTCGTTTTGTTCATTTATTTTTACACTATTTTTTTGCCTCACAGTTAGTGTTAGAGAAAAAAAGTGATTGCAGTTTGAGTTTCAAGTCGTGTTTCACTTGTGTTTTATTATGAAGAAGTAAACACACAAATTGTGTGCAATATATGTTAGTTGACACACATAGTCATAGACATACACATACATACATACATACACACACACACACACACACACACACACACACACACACATACATACACACACACACACACACACACATACATACATACACACACACACAACACTTGCTTTAGTCGACAATTTTTTTATTTACAGTATATACAGTACATCACACAACAACTCTCATTTCACACGAAGAAAACATAATCTTTTATATATATATATATATATAGACACATATAAGTACCGCAAAAAATATCATATATTCTGTATATAAAAAACTAGTAATTGAAGGGTAGATTCAAACGCAATACCAATACCACCGAAAAACACACAGTTATTGTTGTCCATTAAAATTGTACAGTGAGGACAACCAGTTCAGTCTAAATGAGCTTCACTTTTATATATATATAATAAAAAATTTAATATATTACGTGTGCTGTCAATGATTATAATTTATAACTTATAATACTGTACTAATAACGTAATACTAATAATAATAATAATAATAATAATAATAGTAATATAAAACACAGAATATGTTTAAAAAAAGACAATAAGAAATAAAATAGTAAAGAGATTGTATGTTTTTCCTTAAATATATATATATATATATATAAATAACTGATAGAAATTTGATAACAAAAAATATCTACAGAATATTCTTTAACTATTTTTCAGCCAAAAGAATTGCAAGAATATATATATATATATATATATATATATATAGAGAGAGAGAGAGAGAGAGAGAGATAAGTCGCTCTGCAAAATAGTAATGCAAAACATTTATATATATATATATATATAATACAAGAATAACGAAGCGATGCATTGGTCCGCACACACACATACAGACATGAAACTTATGTTTCACTATTGCTATGTGGGTGTGTGTGAGAGAGAGAAAGAGAGAAATAGTGATAATCAAAATATATGGCTTTAAAAACATTATTTTATTGTAATAATAGAGTGAAAGCAGAAAAATAAGAAGAGATTGTCGTTGAAGACGAAGAAGAAGTGGGGATCGAGTCTTCTCTCAAGAAAAATGAGTTGAAACTGTTTTGTCAAAGAAATCAGAAATTACTTTTGAGTAAAAAACGTATTTTTCTCGCTTTTCATTCACTCATTTCTTTATATATATATATATATATATATATTAAAATTAAATGTTATAAAACTCGTCGTCAAGAATATTAGTAGTGAAAAAATTTAATAATTTATATATAAAAATAAAATCATTTTCTCACTCATACACAATGTGTGCATAAAAATACAGTTTTTATTCACTATATATTTTTTTAGTTGTTATCATCATCATCGCTGAGGTCTTAGCAAAACATACGATAAAGTCATTACTTATATATATATATATATATATATTACATACAGAGAGTACTTATATAATAATATATTAATAAATATATAAAAAAAACAACGTAAAATTGCGATAAAGTTATATATATATATATATATAGTTTTAGTCATAATAGTATATGTATAAAAAACACATTATATAAGGGGAGTCTCTTTTTTATATAAAAAAAATATTTAAACATTAAAATCTTAACATCAAACTCGTCGTCGAGTAGAGAGAGAGTTAGTCGTCGGCGAGTATATAACAAACATGGGGTTTGAGTTAACAATATTTTTTTTTTGTTTTGTTTTCACGGAGAGTAACGGTGCCATTAAACAAAAAAATAATAAATGGCTAACAATTTTTAGTGGCTGTCCTTTTTTTAGGCACGATTCTGGATCTCTTGAACGACAACACACTTACAGAGTATGTCATAAGCGGCCCTATTATGTGGCGATAAGAATACAGTGAGTGAGGCCGGTATGAAAAAGACAGCACTCATATTCTTGATAAGAGCTCTCACTAACGACCTATGATATTATGATGGTTAGGGTTTAGGGGTAGTATAAATCAAATTGAGAAAAAAATCAGATAACAAATTATTAAATGACTTATAAAAACATAAAATAAAATACAAAGAGTTAAGTCTACCAAAAGAGTCCGATATTTTTAGCGGGTGTCACCCGAATCAAACCATTGCCCAAATCGTCGATAGTCTCACAGGAAACCACTGATATGCCAAATATGGCTTTTCCTGGTGTCGATCCACCCTCGCGGCCCATTTGGCCCGAATACAGGCATATTGTCTATTTAGTAAATAGTATATAAAATATTTGATAATGAATTTATGTTTCTAACTATTTAATAAATATAAATATATTAATATATACTAATATGAGTGCTGCAGCAGCAGCAACAACAACAAAAATATTGCAATTTGATTGCTGACACCATATGGGATGTCAAAAACACACACAAATAGATATATACTGTATATATATATATATATATAGTGTATAACAAATTGGCAATTGATGTGTTTAAAAATACTTGCCTCATAAGCGCAAACAATAAATCGGTGAATCATTTCAATGATGATTATCTCAGACGTCAGTTCATATGCTATTTGAAGCGCATCGAAGTCGTTGTCCAATAAACTCAAATCAAATTTATCCAAATCTCTGGTTCATTATATATATATATATAAATAGATATAAGATATCAAGAAATTATTTTTTTCTCTGTGAGACTTAAAATGTATTATTCAATGCTGTTTTTTACTTAAATATAAATATCATCCAAAAATATATATTATATAACAATAATAATATCATAAAAATAGAGCAAAAAACATGAAATATATATTATTTACTGTCTATAATAGATACGATAGGTTATTGCAATGAAATAAATATTTTAGTAATAGATTGTTAGTCTTCCACTATAAATATTGTATTATTTTCATCTAATAGTTTTATATAGGATATATCAATATCTATATTACTAGTACTGTACTGTACTTTACTGAACTGTATGTATATTGTAAATACATATAAATAGTATTAAAATTGAGTGCATTATATAATTGAATATACCATACATGAGATCGAGATAATCGACGGCAACGTATGTAACCATTAATTTAAGTATAAGAAGAAAACAAAAATCAATGACTTCTGCAGCGATTCTCTTCCAGAGCTTCGGCATTGAATAGACACGACCTATGGATATGGGGTGAAAGGGAAACAAAACAATAGCCGTTTCATTTAAAAAACAATACACACAGAGAGAAAAAGTCTACAAAATGATTGATTTATAGTGTATTAAAAGCTATGGAAGGAGAAAAAATCTCATATCCTTTATATATACAAACATAATATATTACATAATATATGATATATATGTATATATCATATATTATTTTTACTGAGAATTTAATTTATTAAAAGAAAAATTGTTTTTATTCTTTACTTATATTTTTGCTGCTCTTAAGCGCAAAACAGAGAGTCAAAGAAAATCCGGTTTTTATTAAAATATATGGCAAACACTGTATGTGTGTGTGATATAAAACTAAAGGCGCAAATAGAGGACAGACAAACAAATGACATTACAATACATGGAGAGTAATGATATTTAGAGAGAGAGAAAGAGTGGAAAGGAAAGGGCGAGAATAAGAGAGATGGGGTATTGAGAGATGACTGTACTCTGCATTTTACCCACCAGTGCTATACACAGAAAAATGCAAAGGTTTGTAATATTGGACTCTCATATTGTCTTTCATAACATTCTTTCTCTCTTTCCATTTAATCGCATGAAAAAGCTCTGCTCAGACACATCCATATATACATGCATTTAGATGGATAGACAGACAGATAGATAGACACACACACACTCACCAGCATTGGTAGGAACTGACATATCGAGAGGACAGACAATTATTTGAGTCACTTACGGAATGACAACTATTGAACACAACATTAGACATTTGATGGCAACTATCGTAAATGTCTTATACATCGATATTTATGTGACTTTTTTCATACTCTATAACACAATCATATATATATTATATTATATATAAAATATCTAAAGAATATTCTTTACACATATACAGTGCGCTTATAATTTAAACTTTATATCTCAGCTAATATTATTGATATTATTATTATATTGGATACAATTTTTTTCGATACAATTGCCTGCAATCATACTTTATATCAAATAAATTATATACAAAATGTCATTACATTGGAAATGTCTGTACGCTTTGATGATACCATTTCTGACAATTGAATGGCAATATGATTGTACATTATATCTACTGAATTACAATTAATGCCATCTAATAATATGAGATTGTTTTGGTGTGTATGTGTGTGTGTGTGTGTGTTGTTTGCTGTAAACAGGCCACACCAATATCAGGTACAGTGCCGTTAAAGATATAAACTAAAGATATACTGTATATATATAATCGTTTATTTGAAGACAATTTAAGGCAATTTAGTTAAACAAGTAATCCAAGCAAATCAATGCCTAATTTCTTTTACTTCATTTACCTCACGTTGTAGTCAACTATAAACAGATAATTGTAACGATATGTATATACTGTATATATTTATAAACAATATGTTTCAAAACACAGTCCAACAGTCAAACTATTTTGTTTTGATATAATTATATAAACAGTGTGTTACAAAACTTACAGTATATATAGTTTTTGACTTAAATAAAAAAAATTCCCACATTTGTGGAAAATAACAGTGCCTTCAATAACAAAACTTTATACATACTTATACAGTCAACCCATTATAATGTAAATAAATCTAATACTAAATACACTGTTTTATAGACTAATTGAATATAAATTATAGTCTTCAATATGTCTAAATAGCAAACAAACATAAAAAAGATACAGATTTTAGTTAACCGTTAAAAACATTTATATATACAGTATGTATATACGCATACATGTAGGGTTAAAATAAAGTATTAAATATAAAATATTTATTATATAAAACATATAATAAAAAAATTGAAACTCGAAATATGAACTAAACTCAAAAATTTTTGCTTAACTTTTTTTTGTATAATGTTATTCACAAAAAAATCTTTTTACGTTATAACATATTTAGCGCATAAATATTTCGTATAATATATATAAATTTATTATTATACATCAATATACATAAATTTTGATTTAGTTATATAAAAAATAAGTAAATCTTGTATGAAAAATATTAGGCATCTCATGTTTAACAAACAATCTCATTTGTCATTGTATAATGCAGTATATATTTATCAAATGAGACACATATTTAATAATAACTAATCGATAGCTGCATAAGCATTATATTACTTAATAATAATATAGTATTAACATTGCTATATTTGGTGAAATATAAATTAATTGAAATTAATTAGAAAATAATTAAATAATATATATTTATAAAACTATCAATTTAGCTAAAAATATAAATACTTTTACACGTTTATGTATTAATTATATTAGATTAAATAATTAGTAATTAATTTTATATAGTTATATTATATATTTTCTATATATATATAAATATTTAATATATATTTTTTAGATATAATTAATTATAATTTTTTATATTTAAATTTTAAATATATATCTTCATAAAAAATAATTACATTTTAATCTAATGCATATTTTAATTATTTAGTATTTTTTCTTTTTTTAAAAAATAGTAAAAAATATATAGTATAACATATAGTCAATTGTATATTGAAATTTGAGATAAAAAAATAACAATTTTTTCAAATCTCATAATTTATTTGCAATGCATCATTTATGTCTCCTTTTCCCTCTAAAAATAGCCCCTAAAACACATGTTGACCCATTAAAACACATGTTCCCAGTTTAGGGATACTTGGGAAATAACATGGGGTTCCCACCGATAATATAGGCATTAAATGCTTGTGTGATGTGATGACCCTAATGTTTATTTCAATGCACAATCACACACAAGTGTATAAATGTTATCCCGGCTAATTATAAAAATAGTGGGTAAATCTGTATATAACAGTAAGCCAATGAAAACTTAGCAATCATATTTATTTTTTAGTGTTATTAATTTAGCATGTTCAGTTATCTACAAAAAATACTAAATGACAAAACAACATTTACCGACAATTCCCATCAAATTCAAGTTTAAGAAAATCATTTAAATATTTATATATTTTTAAAAAAATTGCTGATTATATTTCAAAATTTGTTAAAAGTGTTCAAAATACACTAACTGACAACATTAATATAAACTAATTTGTAATTTGTTTTAATGTTTATATATTTTATTTTAATTAAATTTTATTAATATTTGTGTGAATGTTATGTTGTGTGTGTGTGTGTGTGTGTGTGACTGTGTGTGTGTGTGTGTGACTGATTAGCATTACTATCAACAACAATGTGATAGAGGATGTGATGACTAATTTAAATTAATATTACTCGTAATAATAATAATTTTATACTGAAATTATAACAACTTGTAATTGGATAATTTACATATTAAAAAACAAAAACAATAATAGTAGACAAAAAATAAAAACTATAAAAAATTTTCTTAATATACTAAAAATATTTTGCATAACATGTAATAAATGTTTGTAGTTTTTAACGATAGTAACCAAAATTATTAAAGTGATATATAATTTTCAATTTTTATTAGTTTTTTTAATACTCTATGGAGTTTTTAAACATAATATCTCTAAATTAGTGTCAAAAGTAGTTACGATAAAGTATTTATCTCATTACTTAAGTTTTATGTCATTTATAAAAATTATTATTATTATTATTTACAACATATCATAATAATCAAAAAGTTTGTACGATATAAAAGTGTGATTACTTTTTTTTTGTATTTAAAACACATAATTTACACCATATATTTCAAACTCTAATTATATTTTATTTCTCGTTGAATATGCAAATAATGTAAAATAAAATATATATATAAATTAAACACAAAATAAGCAAAATAAACACAAATTTTGTCATAACATTTGAATGAATACATACAACAAATGGGCGATAAAAACCTACATATTTTTCTGAAATATTTTCTGTGTGTATATATATAGGCCTTTAAGGCACAGATTACACTACAATTCAGACATCAATTTATGGTTTTTATTATTATATTATTTGCTATCTATAATAAACTAATGAAATAAACAAAACAAAAAACATAATAATAATAATAATATAAAACATACCGACATTTACAACATTTTAGAGTATTTCTATAATATATTTCTATCTCTTTTGTCTAACCTGAAGCATAAAACGATAGAAAATTTGTTTAACTCTATATAAAAAAGCTGCTGTGTCTCAAATAGGCATAAAAATGTGAGATGATTTCTGGGGAACGGTAGATATTGGGAGAGGGAGAGAGAGAGAGAGAGAGAGAGATTGAACTGTGAGATCAAACTACTTTCCGGTAATGAATTTGATCAGCAGTTAATTTAATTAGATTTAATGCTTACGTTTTCATATAATATAAAAAACTAAATGAAAAACAAATAAAATTATATTTTTTTTAAATGTATTTTTGTTGTTGTTATGTCAAACGTATTGAAAGAGAGAGATAGAAAAAATAAAAGAGAAAATAAAAACTAAATTATATATTAAATCAAATCGAGAGATGTTTAAACAAAAATATATATAAATATATAAATTCAATATAAATAATTTAATAAAATAACAAAGAGAAAAACAATATTAGAAAATAATAAATTATATTTTTTGAGTTACATTTTAAGTAACAAAAATAAAAAAGTGTTTTAAAAATATATTTCTCACTAAATATAACTGATATTATATAAGATTTTTTTTGCCATTAATTAAACTTTTTTTTTTATTATTATTTCGGCGATCAATTTGTGGCCATAAAATAAAATTCAGGGCAATTTTAATTTAATTATATGTTTTTTAAAAAAATGTGAAGCAAAAATCACATACACTACAAAAATTGATACACAAAATAATAACAGCAAAAAAACCAATTTCGATAAATTAAGAAATATTTTTTAGCCTCAACGTTGACATCAATTTTAAGTGAAATACTTGAGGCATTAAATGAAGTAAAATTGATTTCATGACTAAAAGCTTTCAACATTTGTTGGGATCATTGAAGAGAGAGAGAGAGAGAGAGAGAGAGAGAGAGAGAGAGAGAGAGCCTAAGAAATTGTTTTGTTGTAGAAATATATATATATATATATTTTGAGTGTTACGATAAAAATCAATGAATGAATGCTTTAAAAAAATAAATATAAAATTCATTTGAGAGCTAAAATAAGGGCCAAAATTTGCATTTAAAACGATTTCTCCGCTACTCTATCGACATATGATATAATCAAATAGTCATTTAAGTCATCTTTCAATTTGATGATGAATTCATGTGTTTTTTTCTTCTTTTAAATTGTGATTTTTTAATATACTCTTTAATTATTAGAAAATATAAAAACACATTTTTTTAAAACTTATTTTTTTTATTATTAAATAGATTAAGTAATCGCAAAAAATGACTACTATTTTTGATCTATGATCTCATTGAATGATTAATTGCTTTGAAAAAATAGTGGCAAAAAGTTTTTCACAGAAATGTCATTTCATTTCAATTTCTTTCAACACTTTCTCTCACAAAAAAAATTGTCAAAAAATCTTTTAATATATATATGAATACAAGTGAGAAATTTTTTTAAAAATTGAATTCAATTCAGTGATTGATATGAATGACATTACAAATGTATGGATAGATAATGAGCTCAATCTTCGAGATTCAGACAAACAGACAAAAAGTATTTTTACGAAGACTTGTGCGAAGACTAATGCCATCTAAAGGCTAGTCATCTATACATACAATAGTTTATCAGAAATAAATGTCAGATATTATTATTATTACATAACTTATTAGATATGAGGACAAGTGTTAGATTTAGGCTAAATTTTGTTTTTAAAAATATATTATAATAATTACTTATTAAATAAAAAATACATTTTAAAAAATAATATAACTATTTCTATCTATTTAATTAAAATTTAACAAACCCTCACATATAGATTAAATATAAAATCAATTTTAAGTAAAACTAATAATTAGTGGAAAATTTGTTTTATATAATAATATATCACATAATTATTTTTTTTCGTTAAATAAAAAATGTTTTTAAATAATAATTATTATCATATTATTTACATATATTTTTTTGCTAATAAAACTAACAATTTAACTATATTTTTTTGAAACTAAATTTTACAGAAAAAAATACAAACAAAAAACAAATTTAAATTTTGAGCTAAACTTTTAGATTTAGATAATACACTATAAGATCAATCAAAAGCTAATTACGAGATAATAATAATAAAGACATTGAGAGGGAGAGTGAAGACTGAAGACACTGACCATTACGTTGTGTGGTTGTTGTGTTGTTATTCATGTTATTGTTGACCATATTTTGGTTGACCAGTGGATTCATGTTCAAGAAGTTAAAGTTAAATACATTGTTGTTGTTATTTGCGGCCGACGATGACGTCGTCGTCGTCGTTGCCATCGAAGACATTATCAATGGATAATTGGCTGCAAACCAGTTGTATTGCATTGTCTGTAGTATCCAGACGTTCAAGTGTTGGATATATTCGTTGCATGTCTTGTAGGGAAGCGCTGAACCATTGGAACCGTTGCTGCCGTCCGACGACTCATTACTGCCGACTAAACCAACGCGTCTGCGGCGAACACCACCGACGCCGCCACTATTGGCCACACCATTGGTCACATCTTCACCATTATCTCCGGCGTCGGCCATCTCGTTACGACTCAATTGGTTTCCCGTCTGTCTGTGTGTGTGTCTTAAGCCGGAGTCACTGAAACTGATCCACAAATGATTAGACAATATGTGAGTCTAAACAACAAAACTGTTTATGAGTTTTACATTATTTACTCTCACTTTCGTTACGCAAACCGTTATTATTATTATTATATCAAAATTGTACGTCAATTACGACCAAAAAAAACTTTTAGACAAAATAATTGATTTGTTTTATTGTTTATATTATTATTATTATTACTAATAAGTAATAAAAATTTTTAATTAAATAAATTATAATTAATTATATATTTTTTGTATATCTCATAATAGTTTTTCATTTATGTTTTGTTAACTAATTTTGTGATTCAATTGAATTTTTATTGATTTTATATTATGATATAAAAAACGTCTTTATTTTTTTCAATCAAAACACATGTTATTGTATTTTATAAACAAAATTCACATTTTATTTGTTATTTAATTTATTTAATAATAATAATAATTGTTTGGATTTAGTTTTGTTTGTCTCGAAATTTTGTTGATCTAATTGTTTAACTTATTGTCTTCTTCTTCAGCAATGATCAGATCAGTTGTCGTCTCTGGATGTCTACGACAACGACGTGTGTCTCAATTGAGGACCAAATGTTTGACAAAAAACCTATTAATCTGTCGCCAACTTTTGAGCACTTCTTCATCGGACGACAAATCTACTGAAGAATCGGTCACTAATGAACTCTTGAAGAATGATATGATGAAGAAGAAATCAAGTCCTCAACAGTCGACAACAACAGCTAATGACGATCCGATTCAGTCTTTTGCCAAAGCGTTTGAAAAGTTTACTCAAATGTCCAAAGAGTCGGACAAACGACGAACAAATGTGACGACAACTGAACCGTCGGAACCGTTTCCTACACTTCTTCGATATTCACCATTCATTCAGATGGGAGATCCCGAAGGAAAGGTAGTTATCGGTCGTATTGTTGATGTCGTCGAAGACGATCTTTACATTGACTTTGGAGGCAAATTCAATGGTGTCTGCAAACGACCCAAAGTTAATCCCAAGTATGTGTTGTCTAAACACTATTATTTCCAAATGTTGTCTTCAATTAAATCCTATAAACTTTTTATCTTTTAATTTGTCAGTTATTATGTCAGAGAAGCCAAAGTTAAAATTCGTATCAACGACTTGGAAATATCCGACAGATTTTTGGGATCAACTAAAGATATGACTTTATTGGAAGCAGATATCACACTATTAGGTCACGTTTGGTCACCGGCAGCGACAATGAATCAGCTAAAGAGTGACCAATTAAGTGGAGACATCATTTAAAATTGAATTGTTATTATTACCGTAATTTTATTTTACAAATTAATTTCCATCAATGATTTATGTTAAACATTTATCCATAGATAGTGTCATAATTAATAATATAATTAATAAATTGATAGTAATTATTGGCATTTTAAAATTCATTAGTTTTATTGTATATCTAAGCAATCAATATTTGATACAAATATTTATTGGTATACCATAATTGTATTTATTATTATAATAATAATAACTATTAAGTAATATATATTTATAAATATATTTAAAATAAATAAAATTGAAAAAATAGTCTACAAATTAATTTTATAAATCACAACATAATTTCATTTAACGAGAGTATATATCTAAAAAATTTTAAAATATCTTATAATAAATATAAATAATATAATTCAAAATTAATATTGTATTAATTTTAGTCACTCTGACAATTTATATATTTATAGTTTATAATTTAAATATTGTAAATAATAAATCATTTAAATATCTATTTGTTATACAATGTATACATAATAATAATAATATTTGTAAACAATTCATAAAACACCATAAATATACAATTATTTCTTGAAAAATACATAATTTCATACATACAAACATGTAATCATTAAACTTAGGGGAACCGCCACATAAAAAATAGGCTGTCCATCCATCAGTTTTAACGCCCTGAATATTTATTATACAGTATTTATATTGTATATATAATTTTATTACTATTATTATTAAATAATTATGTTTTTAAAAAAACTTAATTCTAGCGACAATTAGGTAAATGAGTATAAAAAAGGTTTTCAATTTTGTTGCTATTGTTTGTAAATTGAATATCAAAAATGAATCAAATGAGATGTGAATGAAAATGATTTGCAAATATATAATAAGGTTTATATTCATATATATATTGTTAAATGCATTCAAATAGTATTTTATTGTCTAATGTTTTCTTAATGATTGGTTCGAGTGCTCAGTCTTTATGATGATGAGAGTGAAACTAAATGAATGAATAACCAAATTGACGCCCAAATAGACGCCAACTTTTTTTTTGTTTGGGATCAAACTCTTCCAGCGATTATATGAAGAATCCATTAATTTATGACAAAAAAAATGATGACTTTTCTTCATAAATCATTAGACTTTTTCTTCAAAAAAATAAAATAATTAATTGATCTATTATTATGAGGTCTTTTATTATGAGGTGATGTGTGTTTGTGTGTTAACGGCAAACAAATCTTTGGTCATTATTTTATGAGTTTTTGTTTTGGTTTAACAAAAAAAAAATATATAATCAAATTATAATTTGAGTTCATTTAAACAGTAAATCATTAATTTTTTGGTGGTTTTACAATGGTAAAAATATATATAAATATTAAAACATAATTATATGCCAAATATATATATATATTTGCAAATAATTTTTTAAATCCATTGAAATTTATAAAATAAAACTATTACAATAAACTATAAAATCACGTCATCATTATTACTATTATCGACTAAATGCGAAAAATTGTTTAAATTGTAGAAAAATCTAAAATATTTTTTATGTTTATCACTCAAATGGATTGAAATGGGCATTATTAATAAAAAACATGTTCATTGAGATAAATATATGTCTCTTTTTTTTGTGTGTCTTGAATTTGAGTTATTCAATTAAAATAAAATATCAATAAAAAAATTATCATTTTGTAAATAGTTGTCTAAATAATCAACGTTTGATGTTCAGACGTGATGTGGTTTAAAAAATTCGTCATAAGAGTCACTGTTGTCGTTATGATGAACGTCTACTTTGCAGAAAACATTGCCGCCGCCCGATGTATTGGGAGGCGTATCATACATAAGGGTGCGATTGTCAGGTGGAAGGGGAGGCGGCAGTTGAGGTGGTTCACCGTTTGGCTGACACTTAAAACTAGCCATATGTTGCTTTTGAAAGGGAAGACTAGCGTATGAATTTTCATCGCTCTCTTCGGCGATTGTTTCGTGAGCCCAGAGGACAGCCGGCTGTCCCGGTCTGGCCAACAATGGTTTTGTTTTATCTGATGAATCGCTATATTTAAAGGCAAGCGATCCCTCTTCGGACACTATACTAGTCCTATGGCTCATATGAGGTGTGGCTGATGTGTCGATATAATGAAATTGTTTCGATGGACTAACGGATAGTATACCTGCTTTGGCTAACTGAGCGTTTCGTTCTTCCATTTTTATATAGACATAAGCACCGGAACAGGCCATCACTATTATGACAATTGCCACCAATATTGGTATCAATACCGATGATCTCAAGTATGGCGGAACTATTCATTTATAATTCATTAATTAAAAAAAATTATTAGTCAAATGTATACATCATATATTTTAATATATATATATGATCATTAATATCAATCATTAATATATTTTAATTTTTATATTATGAATAATGTTAATATTTTTTTGAAATCTAATATCTGACCACATAATATATATGCTTAATTAAATTATATATGTATGCTATAAATATAACATGTATTTCAACTCCTACTGATATATTTTTTTAAAAGCTCAGCTATATTTCCTTAAAAAATAGTTTCAATTACACATAATATTATAATATATTATATATAGTGTATGATACATAGTATTTAACATTTCAAACAGTATGACATAACATATTAAAAGAGGAATTCTTGTTATTATTGCAAACATTTGTAAATAATTTTGTTTTTTATGTTACTATTTTCACTCTATATTTAAACCTAATCTCAAATAAACGTTATATAAGTTTTCATTTTAATCTGTTTCAACTCAATTGTATTTTTTTATTTTGCTTTCTCGTTAAAAATGTTACATAAGTCTTACACAATAAATAAATTGTTTATTATATTAGCCGCTTAAGTACGATACAGTATTATACAGTATAAGTGTTTAAATATACAATTATCTATACTTTTATGCACAAACACTATAGTCATAATTATAACTAACAGTTAAGATTGATGTTAACTAAAAAACCTTGTTTTCTATTTTATTATTGTTCATTCAAATCAATTATGATTTATAGCTATTATTAATTCAATGGTATTATTACTGTATTTAAAATAATATTACATAGTATTTGTGTTAAAAGTCTACAACTATTACATATATAGTATAATATATCATTTTAGTCCCCATTATTGGCTAACATATACTGAAATATAACTCCTTAAAAAAACATTTCCCAAACGTTATTAATGTTATCACAGAATTGCTATTTTTAGCAATGCATTCATTGATTTTAACAAGAATTTTGATTTTCAATGGTATAATGGGTTAGGAATTTAATGTCTATAATAATAATAATACAAATGATAGCCCATTAAAATTGTTTTATAGTGTCGATAGGCGTGTATATGTGTATACATTAAATGTTATCTATTTAATAGATATGCATACCTTCAACAACAAGCACATCGCTATAGGTGTCGGAGCCGTAAATATTGGACACAAGACACGTATAGATGCCTGAAGTGATGGCTGAGACGCGATCGATAACCAGCGATGAGTAATCTTCGCGCGACTCTATGACAACTCCCATCGACTCTAAGGTCATTGGCTTTAATTGGTGGCCGTCTTTTAGCCACCGGAACGATACGGGAGGACTGCCCTCCAGTAGGCGACAGTACACCCGAACCGATTGACCGGTGGCCACATTTCGTTCAAACAAAAATGGCTTTAATTTGGGTGCACTTCCTATAAAAACAATTTTTTTTTTATAAATAGGATATGATTTTTGATATAAAAAAAGTAATAAAATTAATTTTTTGTGACAAACATTTCAATGTTTTTTTGTTATCGCTTTATGTGTTTTTTATTACAAATTAAAAACCCATTTAATATATCATTGTTTATATGCATTATTTGAATACTAATTCATATATTATATTTAAAATATTTTTTAAAAAGAAAAATTTATAACTCATTGATTGCATAAAACAATAATAAAATATAATCAATCAATCAATAAATTATAGGATACATAAAGTGATAGCAATAATGAATATCAATTCATATATTATAATATAAATAAATCAATCAATTATTTTGCGATATTTTCAATACAAACCTTGATATGAATAGTCAATTGATGTAATAATTATTGTTATAATAAATAAATATAAACACATTATTATAGCTGATGTCGTTGTTGTATATAATAAATAAATATAAATTAAATTAACTAAATAAATAAAAATCCATTAAAAAAGGGTTAGCACTTCAATAGCATTATTGCAAAACACATCACAATATATTGTTGTTATATAAATGAGATATACATTGATATTAATGTTTTGTTGTTTACTATAATATAAGTAAATGTTATATAAATTTTCATCAAAACATTTGGTCTAATTGTAAGACATTTAACTAAACATTGGATATATTATATTAAATGTCTTGTCGTTTGTATATTAATGTTGTTGTGGTTGTTGTGGTTGAAAATGTCGACACAATTATTATTAATAATATTATTAGCAATTAATGGAGATATAAATGCAAATAAAACCCAAATAATTATCATATAAATTGTTATTAAAAAAAACTCATCGATTGTTAAGCCATTGGTTTTCCATAGCATTTGGTTTGTATTGCTATTACAATACTGTATAACCAATGGAACAAACAATGAATGGATTGAGTAGTGATTCAGTGAATGAGTCAATGCATTGAAAGTCTCCATTCGATACACAACACAGACTGTCGTGAGAGAGAACAGTGACGACACATACGGACTATCAAACAGACTGTATGTGTGAGAGTGTGTGAGAGAGAGAGAGAGAGAGAGAGAAACACTGGTGTATAAAGTGAGAGAGCCTTCACTTTAACTATCGGTGCATAATATGCATATAGTAAGACCTGTATGGGGGGCACCCACTCTCTCTCTCTCTCTCTCTCTCTCTCTCACGAGAACTTAAGCCCCAATTTTTGAGGCTCAGGTAGCGAATGGTAAGTTCATTGAAAACTACTACTATTACTACTATAATATAAGTCTGTCTTCGTTAACAACAAAGAAAGACAAAATCTATTTTAAAGGTCTCCCAGTATATCCTCGACAGCTGTTCCCACTGTTAGCAACAACAGCCAGTGTTAGCGTATATATCATATGAAGTATTATTATTTTATATGTCTTTCCTTAAAGTTTTTATACTAACATATATATACCGTATATCTGGTTTTTTCTTTACAAATTAACTAAAATATATGATAGTATAAAATGAAAACTTTGTTTAAACTAAAACCCTTTTTGTGTTTGAAAAAAAACTTATTATAACTTTTCTTTGATTATAAATATTGTATATTAGAAACATATTTTATAATTTGTTTATTTATTTTAAAATTTTAGTGCAATGAAAATATTAAACAGATTTTTCTAACTAAAAACCCCCAAATGTTATCATCGATACAAATGTATAGTGTATACAGTGTACAGTATATATTATTATTGTATAATTACTACTACTGTAATAATAATCACTGTTGTGAATAAATAAACTCAATTTTAAAAGGCTTTTAAAAACTATTGCTGTCATTTGGTTTTTGTATACTTTTAAAATCCTAATCAAAATAAAAGGTCTTTTATTATTATCTTATTTAACATTTTAGTTTCAATAGATATAATATAATATGATATTATATAATACAAGTGTTAGAGGTATATGTCATCGAGTTTTATATGAATAAAGCGATGACTGGTATACTGTATGTGACTTTTAAAATAATTTGTTAATTTACTTATTCATTGCATGTATAATAGTATAATAATATAATTGAAGTTTTCTCAAATCTAAAAGTTTATTTACATGAAAGTTATTTATAAAAGTGAATAACTACTGTGTAAGTCATAAATTTTGTTGATTAAATGCACAGCATCTAAGTTAGTAGTAATTTAGTAGTAATACTTAATTAGAGAGCACAGGGAGTTCAACTCATTTGATCTCTCACTTGTCAAATGACAATCTATAAGTATGATTGAAGGTTAACTAAAAATAATATAACATATATTTGAAACGATAAATATTTTCGAGAATTAAATTACAAATCTATTAATATTATAGTAAATATGATTGTAAATCAATTTTTTTAAAATTCAATGAAGTAGCAGTTATTTTTACTCATTATAATAGGAATTTATTTATTTAGTTTCAGTCATATTTTTTATGCATACATTTATTATTAATTTTTAAGCTAATTTATTAGTTAGACACACACACAAAAATCGTATTTAATGTTGATTTAATACAATCAACTTAACAAAAATTATTAAAAGGTCTTCAATAAACATTTGAATACAATTTTTTGGGGTTTGTTTGAAAAAAATACGAACTGATGTTTTCATTTAGACTTTTTTCTTAGATTTCTTTTTCGTTGGTTTCGTTGTTGTTGTGGTCACTGATTCTTCCTCCTCTTCATCTTCTTCTTCATCTTTTTTCTTGTTATCTTTTTTCTCTTTCTTTCCTTTCTTTTCTTCTTTTGTTTGTTTCTTTTCTTCTTTTTTGTCTTCTGTTGTTTCTTCTTCTTCTTCTTCCTCTTCTCCATCATTACCTTTGTCTCCACCGATAGCTGATTCTATGTTCAACATCTTCAATGGTTTAGTCACTTGCGATTCAAACTTCTTTGGTGTTAGTTTTTCGCTTAATCCTTCCGTATCTAAACCTAATTTATCCAATTGAGATGTTTTTGCAAGTTTTTTGGCAAATTTCATTTTAGACATCGGATCAAACTGTTTAACCATTTGTTTTCCCAATTTATTTACCGGTAACTTAGCCTTAACTTTGCTGATACCTTCTTCGACAGGATTCTCACCAAACAATTTGTCGACAAATGCGTCGGTTATGATCATAACATTTACCAAAACTATTAGACATATTGTAATTTTTTGCATATTTTTTTGTATTTACATAAATTTATTTATATCTATATATATATTCAGATGATAAACTTGAAATATTTAGTCTAATGATAAATTGAAATTATTAGTTTAATTTAATAATTAAAAATTACAGTGTGTAATGAAAACGCCATTATTTTAGTATTATTATTTTTTAATGAAAAATGACATCATTTTAAAACCAGATGAAAAATTTTAATTTAAATTTAATTACATTTTAATACGATTTTATTTAATAAAATAAATATCTATTATTTTTAATACTCTAAATTAACTATACTGTACATTTATTTAATTTTAAAATAGTTTTTATAGTTTTTATTTAAATAATAATAATAATAATAATAAATACATTTATATAAGTAATATTGGGAAGACGAAAGTTGTTTAAATATTAATATAATATATAGAATTATTATTATTTATATATAAAAAAGATAACAAAAATAAAAGGTTTTATTATAATATTAATAATAATAATAATGATTATAGAAAGAGAAAGTGTTTATGAAATGAATAATAAAATGATATATTATTATAATAATGAATAGTTTTATAAAGAGAAAGAGAGGGACATTGAATACAGTTTAATGATAATCTTTTTTTTATATTATTTATCTTTTTTTGTATTGTTAAGATAAACAATAGCATTCAATTATAAACATTTTCAGACAATAAACTAAAATTTTTATGGATGACATGAATCGGAATTCACAAATAATAATTTATTTTATTATATATACATATATAATACATGTTTTTAAAATATACAGTCTATATTTAATTATTAATACTCTATTTATAAATAATTCAAAAAAATAATCTCTAAGCAAAAATAATTGTCAAGTGTTAGAATAGTATATAATAAAATATATTTTTATTTTTTAAACAAAATATTAAAGTATAACGATCAATGAGCTAAATTTATAAATGCAAATATTAATTTATTAAATATTCATTAAATGAAAGTTAACTAATATTATATTAAACAATAAGCAATGTAATAAAAATAAATAAATATAATTTATAAAAATATATTAAAATTGTTTGTAGAAATTCAAGGATAATATAGTATATGTAGTATATATATATATATATATATAATATCATTAAAATAACAACGTGTATATTGAATTAAAAAAATAAAATACAAACAAAAATAAACTTCTAAATAAATTAGTAACTATATGTATATAATTTAAATGTTAACATTAATGATATTTATCATTGTTAAAAAAAATATTTGCACTGTCTCTATAAAATTAATTTTAAACACTTATGATGACCAAATTTAAACATAGTTTTATCTGGCTCATTTGACAAACTTGTTTTAACCAGTTTTTTTGTGATGATGAATTACATATCATATATGTACTGTATTGCAAACATTATTTTTACATTTTTTTGTGCTGCATTAAAAATAAATATATTTTTTGTTTAATAATAAATAATTTTGTATTATTTTTTTTATCCAATGTGATCAACTTCATCATTAAACTATATCTATACTGTATTATTAAATTGTATAAATTATATTTTACAAAAATAAAAATTAATTATGCGTTTCAAGAAATATATTTAGACATTAAATATTTATTTAAATAATCAATCAATTGATTGACATCACTTGAAATAGCCTTCACAACTATTATCTCTACCAAATAAATTGTGTGTATTTTGTGAAAATTATAAAATGAAAATAATTATTGAATTGCTTAAATATACGTTACAGAAAAAAATGTTTGATTTCAAACAACTTTGTGTTTATAAAACTTTATTATTGTTTGTTTAAATGTTGTTTAATTTAATTTTTTTAGTTACTTTCATTTTGTTAATACAATTGTAGTTTTATTATTATTATTATTATTAGTATTTAAGTGTCAAAAATAAATGTTATGAAACCATTTATGGTATTAAAAAGTTATATTTATTAGTAATTTTTTTTAAAAAAAGTTTAGTACCAAAAAAATATTTGAGTTAATTTAAGCATAAAAAACTACTTATGGATTATTATATAATAAATAATATGCAAAACTATTTAAGACAAAACAGTGTTAAGTTAGTAAAGACAAGTTTAATGGTGTTATCATTGTTGACGGCCATAGTCTTTATCATTGACTTCTCACTGAACCGGCAGACACTCTACCAATACTATGAACACGAACTTGAATTAAAGGGAATGGGTGTCAAACTGATTGAACTGTTGGTTACTATTATATTCTGGTTGATACTGTTATTGGTGGTCATCTATACCCTACTGTTTCTCTATGTTATTGTCTACAACAGGTTAACAGCAATTTTGGTGATCACTATATTGAACACTGTTTCAGTGATTTACGGTATGTTTGATGTCAATGAAGTATTGGGTCCGAC